TGTTCAGCATCCCAAAAAACCTTACTTCAATTTATTTTAGCTTTTAGTCTATAGCCTAAAATTTAACCCTAACTTTAAGTAAAAATTATAATAAAAAATTATATGGTGATCAACACCACTGTAAAAATAATAATAATACGTACGTATATAAAACACTGTACGATGAAGTAATATATTGTCGGTAATAATGATACGTACTGTACATACGTATATAAAACACTGTACGATGAAGTAATATATTGTCGGTAATAATGATATCGATATATAATTAATGTATTAGTTAATAAATATATGTCTACGCCATATCAGTATGGTCACGAAATAACCATTGACAGATAGATTTAATTGTAAGTTCATTAAATGTACTTACGTATGTACGTACGTACATACTCACGTATGCACTGATTAATCGAGTGGAGATTGAAATATATTTAATCAAATTAGTAAATATAAATAAATTTATCTCGTCAATCCTTCCTGCAAATCCTTTTTACATTTAGTAAAGATGGAAACTTTAGATTCATGTTAGTATTTAGTGTATTCAGTTCATAAAACTTTTGATCGTAGCGAAAATATTTAATATTCTTATTAAAATCTTGTTAAATATCTATTGCTTGAAATAAATAGTTAAAAGAAAACATATAAAACAAAATCGTGCTATAATAAAGTAAGAACTTAAAGAAAAAACAATGTAACTCATAAATACGCTTGGATATCACCTAGTTTTCTTTAATAAATAATAGGTCCAATACATTATATGCTTTACAATTACGAAAAGCAGAAGTTCAAATTTCAAGACTTTCAGTTGAAAATATTGAATTAAGGGCAACAATTGCAAGATTAAATGACCAGATTAAAAAATTGAAAAATGAAAAGAATATCAAGAATGAAACATTTAAAGACAGTGTTATGGTATGAAAAATTTACATATCGATAATAAAGGGTTAACTTCTTTGAAAATCATGATATTTTCAAATACAATGTTTCATATTACAGTCTACAAGTGGACAAATAAATGATTTAATTCAACAACTTCGCGGAGCTGCTAATACTTTAAACGCGTTAATGGAATCGGATTCTAATAAAAAGTCTATTCGTGCGAACTTAAGTTTTAGTTCTGATGGTACATTTCTCTTCTTTCGCATACATTTATGCAAATACTTTTATCTGAAATTAATAATATTAATATACTGGTTATATATGTCTTTTTCCAAAGACTCAATTCTCGACCAAGATATCAATAATTATGGCACCGCTGAAGGAAGTTATCAATATACAACAAATAACACTCCAGAAATTGATATCGCTCTGGAGAAACTTCCTGATAAAAGAAAACCTCCTAACATGGTAATTCGCACTAAATTGTCGTGCATACATATACATAATAGAAATTTATCGTACTATATTGAATTTTTAGCTCACAGTCTATAGAATGCAGCCAAAAGTATTGCAGCCGATAAGCGAAGAAAGTCTTTTCTCATCACCGTAAGAATACATTATGATATACTTGTATATAAAATTCATGGTCTATTTACTTATTCTTTAATTACAGAAAACGCAATGTATATTCGTCGGATTCATGTGAAGAAGATTTACCGAATGAAGATGAAGCCTTGTCTGCGTTTGATCACAAATCTCAACAAACAATATCTAGAATCCCTATCAGCACAGTAAATCGATCTTTAACAGCTTCTCCACCAATAAGTAAATCTACAATTGATTTACCCGTATGTCAAAAAATGAGCACTACATTAAAATCAGAGGAACAAGTGTCAACCTGCAAGTCACGTCCAAAAAGAAATCCTAAAGATATCGGTATTAGTATTAACAACATTCCAAGTTTCATTGTTGTCCGGAGCGAAGCGGAGGATGATCAATAATGTCACGTGTTTAAGTCTGTTCGCTTCTGTAATTATGATTGGTTGATTACACGATAATCAGTCACATAAAGCACCGGACACTTAATGTTATGCATTACCTAGTTTTTACTATTTCCTTTTTTAATATAGATATTCCAATTGACGAAGAAAGAGGTGGCACCCGTCCGCGGAGGAGTCACCAGAATGTAAATTACGCAGAACCAAGCCTTCGCAGGTTGGTGAATCAAAAACTTGATTTAATGATAATCTGGTGAACTAAATTTTTTTTTCTTTTTTTTTGTTGGATTTTATATATACAGTAAATTACGACAAGGTGATCCGTTTACCTATTCTTCTTATTCGTTTGAAGATACTGGACAACAAAAAACTCCAAAACAAAAAAGACGCAGAAAAGCAACAAATAATAAACGTGAAACTCATGATCAAAGAAAAGCTCTCTCAAATATTACTAATGGTAAAGTTAATTTATTTGCATACGTTCTCAACATTTTACAAATGTTTACACTATCTCTTTGTTAAATTATAGTTTCATGATTATTATCTTAAACCTGTAATTTGTATATGTCTATTGTTTATCTTGATTACAATATCTGAACTCGAATACTCGAATTGCTTTTTTCCAACCTTGTGTTTCATGAATTTACTAACAAATCTTTTCTCGTGGTAAATATGTGTATGTATATAAATTTATTTGCGATATTATGTTCTTAAGTAAAAAACACTTATTGGTATTGAAAGAAACTTTTACTTGAGCTACAAGAGTCATTAAATTATTTAACAATTGATAAAAGAAATCATATAAAAAACTGGCCTGATAAATTCCGAAACTGATTATACGAATTATTTATATGTGCAAATACTGTATAGACATACTAGTAATCTGAAGTCAAAAATGGTTATTAATAAAATTCATTTGAGAACTGATCTACGTAGAAAAATGCCAATTTGGAAATTTGGAAATTCTTACGTAGATTAATACAGTAATATCAAAGAATTTTAAAAGATTTCGATTAATAATTAGGCCATGCAAATTTATTGATTTTCATAACCTGGCCAGGTCAAATTTTAAAAAATTTTTTTATGTTTTAATAACCGGGTGGGTTTTCAAAAAAATTTTTGTAAAAAAAAAAGTCGGCCGGTCGGCCGGGTCCACTTAGAAGTTTCATGTTATGAAAATCAAGAAATTAAATTTGTATGGCCTTATTTACTATCTATATAATACTTCGTTTTAAATATTACCCAATTCTTAGGCGCTCATGTGATTTTATTTTTAAATTTTATACCGTGCGCGCAACACTTAAAGACTGCAACAGGGCATAAAATATTAGTGTCTTACATCAGTCCAATTACTAATTAAGATTTTATACGTAATAAATTTTTCGGGTCTGTACGCTATATCAAATACAGTCGACTCTGGGATATACCGAACTTGCTTATACCGAACTCGGGTTATAACTAGGGATCTGCAAGCCCCATGCCTAACAAAAGGCAGAAGCATGTCATAGACACAGATGCAAAAACGTCTGGCATAAAGTTAGTGGGCACTTTTAAAGTATTTGGCACATGCTGGACACTTTGTATTATAAGTATGAAAATCGACCCTAAACTATTAGGCACTAGGGCACAAAGTGCCTATTCCAAAGGTGCTTAAAACATTACATGTGTGCCTACAAAATGCCTAAAACTTTTGTCCATGGGCACGGGCAACCTCACAAGCATTAGTGCCAGGCATGATGCCCATATGCCCGCATGGGCATAACGAATCAGATCTGAACCGATTTTTTATAAAAATTTAGGCTGGTTATACTGAACTTATATAGTAAATTTTTATATACCGCATCCGAACTCTTCTTTACCAGCCCAGGACTGAATTTACTAATTTCCCCCACCACTTCTGATTGGTTCTACTAATTATTCACATATCAGAGTATCTGTGTTATTAATCAATTTTATAGTTCTCCGATAGGGAAATGGTAGAGGAAATTAGGGCACCCCCCAGGACTAAGTACACATATTTCGATATAACGAACTACAGTATTTGTATATGACGATAATATATTCCGAACGGGAGCAAATTTTCGAGCGAAGTTCCGATAATTTCCGAAGGCGTTGGGACCAATGTTGGAAATTCATAAGACAGTATGATAATTTTTTGTGTTTTATCATGTTCACATTAAAAAAATTTATGTTCTTGTGAACAGTTTGAACATATGATTTCCAACACTGGTTGGGGCGATTTCATTGATTAGCTATGTATACCGAAACTGTTCGGGATAGAGAGAATAACTCTATATAAAACCTCCCAGGATATACTGTAATTATAAAAAAAAAATAGAATTTACTACGCCTTTAATTTTTCCCGCAATATTTAACATTTTTAATTCTATAAAAGCAAAAATGTTCAATGAAAGGTGTCTTTACATCGTAACAACGTTAGAATATCTTACTAATTAAAATATATGATACTTGTCGAGGTGTCTCCTGTCATACGACTTATAAACATTATTTATTTTATTTTATATGAGTGTCGCTAAAAGAAAACCCGAAAATTTAAATATGACTTATATTTAAATTTTCGGATTTTCTTTTAGCGACACTCATATAGTATAAGGTGAAAACTAATTGTTGCAGATTAAAATGAAATCAGATTAAAATGAAATTGAGGACCTCTCTTGCTCACTCTTAAAGTTTATAAAACCCATATATACTCTTTTATTAATAATCCTAACTCTAAATCTGATTCCTAATACTAAAAAAAACCTCAAAAAAATGTCTTCTAAAAAATTTTAAATTTTTTTAAAAATTAGAAAATTTTCGGTTTAATCTGATTTCATTTTAATC